CAGGGAGAGGTTTTTTTGGGGGGGAGTTACAGTGAGAGGACAGAGCTCCTGGATCACACCAGGAGGGGATAAGAGAGCCCATAGTGGTGCATTGTCTATGGGTTTTATAGTCAGTTGAGGATTTTGGGGAATGTGGGGAAAAATGCTTAGGGTGTGGACTTGTTAAGTGGTCCTTGAATATTCAGAATTAACTTAACACAAGAAATTACTGCTCTGATTTCTCCCCAGGTGTCTTGGTCTAGGATCGTATCAAACAAGGCTGCCTGCCCAGCCCCTAAGGTGGGCTGAGGTACTGTTGCTAAGGAGTAAGTTAGGAATCTTACTTCTTAATTTCCTGGGTGTTAAAATGAAATCTTATCTTTAAGGTGGTTTCCTGCCTTTTGCTATGTTGTTTACAGCTGGGCCTTCATGCTAGATTAGTTTCCCAGTTTGTAAATCACCTCATCAGGTCTGAAGAAAGAAAGGCAGCATATAGGCCTGGGCCTTTTATTATGCTAAAGTGAATCTTACACATGATTGCAAATGATTAGTGTAATAAAAACATGTGAATCTCCTCTATATCTAGGGAATACTGCCTGATCTCACTGAAGAATGACTCTAGAGCTTAATGTTTAACACAGAGTTTTGGTAGGGGATTTCCTTGCATGCAGTTACATTGCTCTGACGGTAAATATCCTACCTTGCATTTTCCAGAGACTAAACCCATGGTCCCTGCCTCAAGAAGACATTTGTTAGTCATAGTGATGAATATGTTTGGGGAGGGGTGTTGTGTGTTTTTTTTTTGTTCTTGTCCCCACTGCAACAAAGAATTGAAGGGCAGAGACAGTAGTGAAGCAGAGTAAAAATTTTATTTCAAGTTACTTAGAGAGAAAGTGCAGGCAACCTCAGAGAGACAGGAGCACCCTGAAAGCTTGGAGAGGGTGTTTAAGATTAAAAGATTATACACTTAGAAAGTGTGGGCAACCTCAGAGAGAGGAGCACACTGAAAGATTGGGGGTTCCCTCTTGTAAGGAATTTCCAGGAAGGTGACAAAGGGCTAGGGATGTGGACTTGTCTCAAGTACCTTTGATGAGACATTATGTTTCTTATCAGTCCTCTAGGTAATTCTGCAAAATTAGCTTAACACAAGAAATTTACTGCTCTGGTCCCCTCCCAGGATAGCAGCTTCCTGGTTTGGGAACATATCAATCAAGACTGTGTGACCTTCCTTCAAGGTGGGCAGAGTTATTTGTTTGTTAAAGAGTATGTTAAGAATCTTTCTCCTTAAACTTCCTCAGTTTTTTTTTCAAAATGCAATTTTGGCTTTAAGGTGGCATCTCACTGTCTTTATTATGCTGTTTACAGGTGGGCCTTTTAGTAGGCTAGAATAAATCTTACAATGATCTAATTGACACAATGAAGACATGGGATGTGCTCAGGTACCACTCTTTATCTGGGGAATATTCAAACATTCAAGGTCAAGTAGCTCTTGACCTTTTGAGCTTTAACTAACTTTAACTCTTGAGTCTTTTGTGGCTTTCTAGTTTTAACTGGTTAACTGAGTCCTTTCTAGGGGCTTTACTGACCTTGTTCTCTTTCCAACCCACTCATATCTATTTTCCTGCCGAACAATGCTATGAAAATTCATACTTGCTCTATTTTCTCTGTGGATGAGAACATGAGACTAATGAAGCCAAGGTTTCTTGCTATACCCTGAAAACATAATGGGCTCCAAAGAACTTTAATTGGGTAGCTCCCTGAGCTACAGTTTAAACAATGAGAAGCCTGTCAAAATGGAGTCTAGGCTAGAGAGGAAAGTGGAGTGTCCAAATCTATTACTGTTACTTCATAATAATCTCCAGATTATATGGATCAGTGTTCTCATAAGTAGAGAGGAACTCAGAATTTACCCATGTATTAATGTCATCTTCTAAAAGCACAAATTGGAATTGAATGACAAATAAAAAATTCTAGAGACCGAGATTTCTGAATAAAATGATTCCTCGAGCCTTTACACATGCTAGCCAGAAAAAGGACTGAGTCCTGGGCAGAACTTTTTGGTTCATCAGTGTTACAGAAAATACTGGAAAATCCTGGACTGGATCATTGATGGAAAAACCAAGAGCATTCAGAAGTCTTGGAGTGTTGAGGTTTATTTCATGCTGGCAGGCTCAGAGGGGAGTAACCTCCCAAAGCCTGAGCCCCGAACAAGGCAAGGGGAATAATATATATCTTTCTGCTTCCGTATGTGCAGCATTTCTAAGTGCACAGCAAATGAGCATGCAAGGGGGAGTAAGTTTAGGGAGTGAGGATAGAGAGTAAGTGCCTGGCAGAGAGGGGAGTTGTAGAGGAATGCAGGGAACAGGGCTGAGCCACCCAGTTTTCATAGAAACTACGTGAGGCTAACATTCCTGGGCCCTGCCCTAAGTTAGATAACTAGAAGCCAGAAACTAGTGAGGCTAACATTCCTGGACCCTACCCTAAGTTAGATAACTAGAAGTAAATGAACCCCTGGGGTCGAAACTCGTGATAAGTCACATAGGAATGCTTGTGCAAAGGTCAGGCACCTGGTGTATCCCTGTTCCAATTATATTGGCCAAAGTATAGAATGTGTTTCAAATTCATTGGTTGGGGTAATGTGCAGGCTCAGGTGCAATGACTGTAGAAATCCCATATAAACCATATCTAAAGTTGCTTGGTCGTTGGCAGCTCGGACTCGGCCTGCATGTCAGGGGAGGTGCTGTCGACCCAAGCTTGCTGGCTGAATAAAGACTTTGCTTGGATTTTCATCTCCATGTCCATGTGTCTTGTTCTCTGGGAAACCCTGGAGTCCTAGACCCTAACAGAGTGAAGAGGAGAAGGAAGTTAAGGGAGTTTCTGTTGTCTTTGCTAAGAAGAGCAGCAAAAGGGAGCCACCTGGACTAGATTTATGTTCTTGTAAATTTTTCCCTATCACTTTCCCCTCTGATGCCCCTTTAAAGACTTCATTTTCAGGGGCATCATCTCCTTGGTTTATGATAGGGTCATAACAGCTCTGCATATACATGAGTTGTATGGAGGAAATGCGTTCCATGATAATGAGCTAGTTAAAGATGCAGGGTCTCACTAACAGTTCAAGGAGCAACAAAACTGCTGGGCCAGCAAGGCCAGTTAAAAGAGTTGTTAGCCATGGATTCTATTTTAACATTTGCAGCTCAGAAGGTGCAAATGTTAGAGGGGTCTTGCACAATTGGAGGCGATGGGCACCTTTTACAAGGGCCAATTAAAATTAGAAAGGAGTGGAGGGACATCTAAGCCCAACTGCCCCCCATCCCAGTCCTCCTTTGGCGCACTTCTTTAGCACAGCTCTCTACCAACTTTGTGCAGTGGGAGCTGAGGACACTCAAGGTACTGAAGGCAGTCCCAGTAGTTATACTAAACTGCTTAATCTATTATGGAAAAAATTGAGAGGTCAATATTTTGTAGTATACTGGCTCTTTAGTTAGTGCCTTTAGGGCCTGCTTGACCTTTTCATCCCTGTCCCTTTGTGCTTGGTTCTGGACTCCCCCCTATCAGACATTCCAATGTGGGTGAGGTAGGTCCAGCAGACAGTCTATCTCTTTTCTCCCCTAATTGCACAGTCTGAGTCTCATTTATTTATTGTTTTAGTTCAGTACCTTTCCTGTCTTTAAGGCAAAGGGTGGTACTGTTGTTATTGTAACATTTAGCTGGCATGTAGGTGTAGGCACTGAACCCGGTCCCCTATTTGTCTAACTTTATGCAACCACACTGAGGTTTCCCAGGAGTGAGGGGGAGGAAGGGATGGGAAAGAAGGTATAAAAATAACATTACAGAGTGATAGTGGGGAGATGCAGGCTGAGGCTTCAGTATAGTTAGGAGAAACAGGTAAGCACAGCAAAACAACCTGTGATTATCCAATAGACAATAAGAAGGCCAACTTTTGAGGAATAGTCAGAGAGTTCAATGCCCATAATGAAAGATAGCACTCCAGCAAGGGCCAGTATCCACAGCACGCAGAGGGTATGAGTCAGAGGAGAATCATTAGATGCGGAGGCAGAGAGGATTCTGGAGGTCTGCCTGTGCTTTCCTCTGATGTATATTTCTCATCTGGATTATGGGTATTTTTCACTTTGGAATAATGGACCCCCGGAGTGATGCTTGCAACTTTTAGGGCAGGAGGAGTGGTTAGAACAACATTGTGAGGGCCAGTCTACTGAGGTTTGAGGAGGTCCCTTTTTAAATCTTTGATCCAGAATTAGATCCCAGCCTGGAAGGAATGTACTGGGGTCCCTAAGGATATCAGGGCTCTTTCTGCAGTATATTGCTGCAGCTTATTTAGGGTGGTTCTTAAGGCTTGGAGCTGTTCTTTTACTCCCTTATTTCCTAGCTGGTGTAGGTTCCCTGGAGGCTTCCTAACATGAGGGAGGGTGTCCACACACTAATTCAAAAGGGGAAAAGCCTTCAGTTCCAGGTGTGCAGTGAGCACAAAGGAGAGCTAAGGGCAGCAGGTCCAGCCACGGGAGGCCAGTTTCTTGGCAAAACTTAGCTAGGGTTCCCTTGAGGGTGTGATTCATTTGCTTCACTTTCCCTGAACTTTGTGGCCTGTATGCAGTGTGGAGTTTTCAGGTAATGTTGAGAGATTTACTGCATCTGCTACAAAGGCTGGTCCACTGTCACTGTGAATCACAGAAGGTAGGCTAAACTGGGGCACAATTTTTCTCAGGAGGACTTTGACTACCTCTTGGCTTTGTTTTGTCTTATTGGCAAGACTTTGACCCACTCAAAGTATGTACACACTCTTACTAAGAGTTATCTGAGCCTTCTGCTTGGCTGGACATCTGTGAGGTCTATCTCAAGGTCTTCAAAGGGAGTAATTCCTGCTCTTTGGACATTGACCGGGAGTCGTGGTGCAGATCGAGTGTTATTTCCGGCACAAGTTATGCACTGCTCACTTACTGTTCAGCATAATGCTGGCAATTGGCTGATGTAATATTGCTTTTTTTTTTTCTAGTTAGGGTGGCTCCTTCAGCTATGGCTCAGTCCTTTTCTTTTCTAGTGTGCTTGGGTGGAGGGGCCTTCACTGGGGGTGTTAGGACCATAGTGAGGGAAGGAGTTTTATCTATTTTTTTTATTGGCCACTATTTTAGCTGCTGTATCTGCTAGTTGGCTCCCCTGTGTTACAGGGTTGTTTTCCTTTTGATGTTCTACGCAATGCAGAATTGCTACTTTTTTATGTATGAAGAGATTGAAGGGCTTTTTTTATATCTGGCAGGCCTAGGGCTGGTGCCTGTTCTGAAGCAGCTTTTATTTCCAGGGAAGGTGGTTCTTGCCTCTTTTGTCCAGGCAGGGGGCTTTCAGTATGGCCCCCCCCAAGGAGGCTGTAGAGGAGTCTTGCCATTGCTGACAATCCAGGAATCCAGATTCTGTAGAACCTGGTGGCCCCCAGGAACTCTTGTATGCCCTTCTTCATCTGGAGCTGCGGTAAGGAGTTCATGACCTTTTTCCTCTCTGGCCCTAGTGCCCTTTCTCCCTGGGTGAGGAGGAAGCCCAAGTACCAGACTCACTGCTGGAAGATTTGTGCTTTTTTCTATGAGGCTCAGTATCCTGAGTCTGACAGGAGTTGCAGGAGGGCCTTTGTGCCTTTTGCACAATTTTCCTGAGTGTCACTGGCAAGGAGGAGGTCATCTACATACTATAGGATGGTGCAGCATGTGGCATCCCTCAGAAAGCTGGCAAGGTCTGCAGCCAATGCTTCTCCAAAGAGAGTGGGTGAGTTCTTGAACTCTTGTGGAAGCCGCACCCATGTCAACTGCATCTGCCGCCCCGTATCCAGTTCAGTATATTCAAAGGCATACAAAAGCTGGCTTTGGGGGGCCAGCTGGAGGCAGAAAAAGACATCTTTAAGTCTGAGCCAATGAACCATTTGGCAGACTCCAGGATCTGGCTGAGGAGGGTGTATGGATTTGGGACCACCAGGCATAAAGAAACAGTCACATTGTTAATGGCTCTCAGGTCTTGAACAGGCCGGTACCTTCCTCCTGGCCTTTTGACTGGTAGAAGTGGGGTGTTACAGGGCGACTGACACTTGATTAGAATTCCTACCTCTCTGAGTATGATCAAGTGTTCCTGATGCCTGCTCTCACCTCTTGTGAGAGGGGATACTGCTGCTGTCTTTGTGGCTCCGAGAGCAGTTCCAGTCTTTTTCACTGAAGGGGGCTACAGGGAGGGAAACCACAGAGTGTTCTGCCCCTATCAACCATAAAATTCATGTTTTGGCTCCCCACTTTCATTTTGACCATGGGCTCATGGGGGCCAAAAGTGAGAGAGCCGGGTCCTTGTCAGTTTGATTCTGTTCCTGCCAGGCCAGTGAGCCTTTCCACATGGGGCTCTTCCTGGTAATGACTGGACTTCAGGGCTTTGCCTCGATTGGGGCATTTGCTCTTCTAATGCCCCTTCTCTTTACTGTAAGCACACTGGTCCCTGGCTGGGGGGAGTCCTAGGCCTCCCCCTCTTGGTAGTTGGCTTTTCTTTGCCTTTTGGTCATCTCTCTTTCTTTTAGGGCAGCTTCCAGGAGGCTGGCCTTTTTCTTCATTTCTTTTTCAGCCTCTCTGTCAGCCTGAACTTCTCTGTTTAGATATATTTTGTTGGCCATTTTAATCAGCTGAGTGGTATTCATCCTGGCAAAGCCTTCAAGTTTTTGGAGCTTTCTTCTGATGTCTGGGGAGACTTGAGCTATGAATGAGGTGTTGACCATTTATTGGCTCTCTGCTGACTCAGGATTGAAGGGGGTGTAGATGTGATAAGCTTCACACTGTGTTTTATAATAGTCCCCAGGAGACTCTCCCGATTGTTGAGTGACAGGAGAAACTTTGGTCGTGTTCATAGGCTTTTTGGACCCAGCTTTGATCCCCTGGAGGAGGGCATCCTGATATCAGCATATCTAGTGCTGTCCCTCAGGGGTGGTGAAGTCCCACTTGGGGTGCTCCTCAGTGACAGCAATTTCATCCCATGCACACTGACCAAGGACCCAGCTGCCTCCTCTCTTCCTTGTGAACAGGGTGTGGAGAAGCTGTTGACAGTTTTTTTTTGGTCAGCTGATGGATTTGGAAGAGGGATTTCATGAGATTAACCAGGGCTTGTGGCTTTTCTGATGGAGTGTCTGTTGTGGAGAAGGGTTGATAGTAAAAAATGAACTGGCTGGGCTGAGTGGTCCCATATTTATTATACCTTTCAGGCTCCTGCAGTTCTTGCACTGGCATCTAAAGGGCACCTGCTCTTGGTCGAGTGTGCAGTATGGCTGCTGGTCTGGGGGAGAGTGGGTTAACTGGTTCTAGAGTTGGCAGGGAGGCTGACAGAGGCAGGGTATCTGGGACTGGGAAGCCTGGGTGCTTTGGGGATGCATAAGGTGGGGGGGGGGTGGCAATATTAGCTCTTCCTCTAGGTCACCAGCAAGAATCTGCAGAGTCTCAGGCTTGATTCTTTGTAGGCTTTTTTGTTGAGGCGACTAAGACCCTACCCTGTCCCTGCCTGTTGCAAGTGAATTGCACCCAAGGGGAAAGGGTCTGGGCGATTCCTAACCATTAATATATGAGAACTGGTCAGGATGACCTGGATCTCCAGTGATGACCCGCCAGACCTGGCAGACTATTGGGACATCTAGGCCCCCTTCCAGAGCCCATCCTATACTAAAGGTGGGTTATTTAGATTCATATAGGGTTTTTAACCTGCTGTGAGTTCATTTTACTCTGTAGTCTTTTGAAAATCCCTTCCTTAAATTTTTGATCATGTCAAGAATTTTGATCATGTTTGCTGTGTCCTGGCCCCTTATGTGTTCATGTAAGTGTGCTGCAACAACAGACAAGGGAGGGGTGCCTCCTCTAGAGAGGAGACCAATCAGATGCCTATTCACTCATGCTCCACTTGGCGACTTTGATCAGCTTTGACTAAGGTGCACACTTATAAGTCCAGGGCCAGGTCAGCTGAAGGTAAGTCACTGTTATGTCGTTGTGGCCGACCACAAATGTGGTGAAAGGCCAACTCAGATTCCTTACCTCAGGCCATGGAATCACAGATTCTGCACAGACTGAATGTCTTCAGCTCCCCTGCCCACTCACTCACATACTCAGACCAGATTTTAAACATTCCCCATAATGGGAATGTCTACCTGTGAGACTTCTGAGAAGTCTCCGAAAGGTGATTAGGCTCCCCTTCCATTCCAACAGGTGGGAACTGGCTGGGTCAGGGGCCCCATGGCATTACTGATTCCATGTCGGAACCAGGTCCTCATCTGCCAAGTCTCCTTGAGTCTGGCAAGAACAGCCGAGCGGGCCTGGCCCTGGGCAACCAGGTGAGAGACTGCTGAAAGATCAGGCAGGGTGTGCCTTTCCTGTTGTGATTTCCCCTTTTGTCACCTCCCCGCAGTTACACCAAACCGGTGGCAACAAAGGGCCAGTGTGGTTGGGTTTCCCAGTCAGGGAACCAAACGTTATGGAAAATACTGGAAAAACTTGGACTGGATAACTGATGGAAGAACCAAGCGGCACTCAGAAGTCTTGGAGTGTTGAGGTTTATTTTACACTGGCAGGCTCAGAGGAGAGTAACCTCCCAAGGTCTGAGCCTTGAACAAAGGCAAGGGAGGCAATATATATCTTTCTGCTTCCATACCTGCAACATTTCTACATGCACAGCAAGTAAGCAAGCAAGGGGGAGTAAGTTTAGCAAAGCCAGTTAACAGAAAGAGGTTGTCCTCCAGACCCAAGAGAGGATGTTTCCAATGGGTCTGAAGAGCAAATGGAACTCTTATCACCAGGATTCTCACCTGGCTTTAATATCACCCATTGTATACACAAAAGAGCCTGTTTTCATATTTATGGGCAGCAGGATGTTTACTGGCTGCCCTGAGTGAACCATCAGACGCAGAAGTAATGGAGTAGGAGAGGAGTGAAGAGGAAACACACAGCACCTGGACATAATTTGTCCTACTTTGAGCTAGGAACTAAAGATGTAAGATAAATAAAATTCTATATCAAGAAGCTCTAAGTGTATCCAACTCTGTGTCTTTGGGTAAATCATGTAAGCTTTTGGAATCTTAATATTTTATTTTGATTAATGGATTAAATTAATTAAGATGTAATCATAGTGATACTACAAATTTTATACAAATATTCTCGTATGTATTACATCTATTATATTAAAATGCTTCAGGAAATGGAAATAGCATAATATTATTATCTATGTAAAGGATATTTTATTTTTTCTTGAAACTTTTTACTGAAATATAGTTGATATACAATATTGGTGTCAGGTATGATGCTGCAGAACTATTGACTTTATGCTATACTTTATCACTGTGACTAATTTATATTATGATTGAGATTTTCTGTTTCCTTATCCCCTTCACCCACTTCACCCACCCACCCCAGGAACTCCCCCATGGTGCCCACCATTCACTTCTCAGTGTCTTGAGTCTACTGTGTTGTTTATTTTGTTTTGTTTTGTTTTTAGATTCCACATATAAGTGAAATCATTGGGATTTTTCTTTCTCAACCTGGCTTATTTCACTGAGCATAATATCATCTAGGTTCATCCATGTTGTTGCAAATAGCAGGATTTATTTCTTTTTTATTGCTGAATAATAATCTGTTGTATATATGTACCATATTTTGTTTATACATTCATCTATTGATGGACACTGGTTGCTTCCATATGTTGGCAATTGTAAATAATGTGTCAATAAACATAAGAGTGCATATATCTGTTTAAATTCCTAGAAGTGGAATTACTGGGTTGCATGGTATTTCTATCATTATGTTCTGAGGAAACTCCACACTGCTTTCCCTAGTGGCTGCACTAATTTACATTCCTACCAGTAGTGTAGGAGGGTTCTAATTTTTCCATATACTCACAAACACTTGTTATAACAAGTCTTATTGGTATTAGCGACTCTGACTATTTTATGGTGACATCTAATTGTGGTTTTGATTTGCCTTTCCCTCATAAGTAATATGGAACATCTTTTTGTGTGTCTCTTGGCCATCTGCATTTCTTCTTTGGAAAAATATCTATTCAGATCTTGTGTCCCCTTTTTAACTAGATTATTTGTTTTGTTTTTTTTGATGTTGAGTTGTATAAATTATTTATATTTTTTGGATATTAGCCATTTATCAAATTTACATTTATAAATATATTCCCCCATACAGTAGGTTGTCTACTCATTTTATCAACAATTTCCTTTGCTGTGCAGAAGCTTTTTGGTTTGTTATAGTCCCACTTGTTTATTTCTGCTTGTTTCCCTTACCTGGAGAGACATACGAAAAAAAAAAAAAAAAAGAACTCCTAATGCTGATGTTTAAGAGTGTACTACCTATGTTTTCTTTTAGGAGTTTCATGGCTTCAGGTTTTATATTTAGATTTTTAGTCTATATCAAGCTTATTTTTGAGTATGGTATACAACAGTAATCCAATATCATTCTTTTGCATGT